TATGCTATTTATTACTAAACAGTATACATTGTCCCAATGTTCCATTTATACGACAGCTATTTTTACATATTGATAATTTGAAATCCAATGCATCCTTGAAATAAAACGGCATCCTAGTCATAGAAAATAGTTTCCTAAATGCATTTCTTATGTTGTATATCAGTTTTATATAGAATCATTAGTTCAGCTGAACACTTAGGGACAGTTTGCTTGCAGTAATGAGTATGGCATTTTCTCAGTGAATATAAAAATGTTTTCAATGTCTAGTCACTCTCATTTAAATTTTTCAAAGAATGGCATTCTAAAAACAATTATTTCATAATTGCCATCATGGAATATTTGTTACTCAATATATGCTTTATAGATTTCCTATGTAATGGATGATGGGACATAATTGTTAATAACAGCAGGTATTTTTAAAAACTAACACCATTTAAATTCTATCCATCTTCTTTTCTCTAGTACTGCTCTTTTTCCTCCTCTTAGTAACACTGTCACTTTCCCTTTATGAAAATCAGGAAATCATTCAGTGTAGAGATATGTTGTATCATATTCTCACTAATATTGCCTCAGCCTTTAGACCTGTGAAAATTACCATATGAAGCCAAACTACGTGCATTCAAAATAGATATTTTATTTTAAGCATTTAATATTAGCTTTATTAAGCTGTAAGATGTCAAATAATTTAGTATTTCTTAAGAGATCATTTTATACAAAGAATATTATAGAGATCATATAATGAGAATACATATATAGATAGAACTTTTTATACACATGTATTTAAAATACTTGCTTGCACATTCTTAAAAGTGTGATATGAATTTAAAATATATTAAATTCTTGATTTCCTTTATGAAAAATGCCATCCTGTGCACTGACAGAATTCTATTTCAATTATAAACTGAAGGCCACTTCCAGGCACAATGAGTAGGAATTCCTAAACCTTCATTCCTACACAGTGCACATTTCCCCCGATGCCATTCTTTCAGGTACCTATGAGACTGAGGCCAGTTTCCCTAAGGGAGCTTTACTGCGGTGTTCCATAGGCTTGTCAAAAGACAGAAATCATTGCCCTCAGAAGGTTCCATTTCTTTCATGTTTTGTTTAAATCTGGATCTCAAGAATGATGAAATGTGGTGGTGAAAGCAGTAAACATTGGGTGTGGCTGCAAATAATTCAGAGCCACACATTTGTTGTCGAGAAATGGTTTTCCTATTAGGCTGGAATACTGGTGAAGAGTCTCAATGCTTACAATCAAACCTTAGCTCTCATCTTTCTCAACTGATTGTCAAAACTTAACACTTGCTTTTAAATGAGTCTACTATATTTTCTTCTCTTTGACTTTACTTTAAATGAGTATACTATATTTTTCTTCTCTTCGACTTTACTTGAGAACATAATTTCAGTCTACTGAAAAGACATTAATTGTATGAGAAACAACAAGAGCAATAACAATGTCAATAGTCAGCAATAGTTCTGGTTTACTGTGCCAGAGACATTTTATATTGTGTTTCATTTTTATGTTTTAACTCACAGATAAAAAGTATATATTTATAGAGTACAATGTAAAAATTTAATATATACATACATTATGTAATGTTCAAATAAAGGTAAACATATTACATATTTTCAAACATATAATTTATTTATGGTGAAACATTACAAATTCTTTTTCCCCCAGATTATTTTTGTCAGAACTTACAACAATTACCTAACTATAAGTACTGGTTTATCACCATTTTCCCATCACTCTCATCCTTCACTCTCCCTGGCTTCTGATAACTGCCAATCAATTTCCAACTACTATGAGATCAACTTTGGTAGATTCTACATATGAAAGAGATGATACAGACTATTTAAAGTCTACCTATGCACTGTTGCCTGAACTCAATTTTTAAAAAAAGATTTATTATTTATTTATTTATTATTTATTTATTTTTACAGGCAGAGTGGACAGTGAGAGAGAGAGACAGAGAGAAAGGTCTTCCTTGCCAATTGGTTCACCCTCCAATGGCCGCTGTGGCCGGCACACCGCACTGATCCGAAGGCAGGAGCCAGGTGCTTCTCCCTGGTCTCCCATGGGGTGCAGGGCCCAAGCACTTGGGCCATCCTCCACTGCACTCCCGGGCCACAGCAGAGAGCTGGCCTGGAGAGGGGCAAACCGGGACAGAATCCAGCACCCCAACCGGGACTAGAATTTGGTGTGCCGGGGCCGCTAGGTGGAGGATTAGCCTAGTGAGCCAAGGCGCCAGCTAGATTATTTATTATCTGAAGGTCAGAGTTATATAGAGAGAGGAGAGCCAGGGAGAGAGAGAGAGGGAAAGAGAGAAAGAGAGAGTGAAAGAGAGAGAGAGGTCTTCCATCTTGCTCGTTCACTCCCCAATTGGCTTTAGTGGCTGGAGCTGTGCTCACCTGAATCCAGGAGCCAGCAGGTTCTCCCAGGTCTCCCATTCAGGGTTCAGGGGCCCAAGGACATGGGCCATCTTCCACTGCTTTTCAGGCCATAGTAGAGAGCTGGATTGGAAATGGAGCAGCCGGAAATAGAACCGATGCCCATATGGGGTGCTGGCACTGCAGGAGTAGGTTTTAGCTGCTACGCCACAGCACAGGTCTCTACCTGAACTATTACAGTTGTCTTTTTTTTTAATACAGCATATTTTATTATAATCCATATATATATAGCAAGCAGGTTGGGAACCCTCCTCTGTGACAAATAAGCTAGAGAAGGAGTCAGGCTCTGTGAGCCAGTGATGTCCACGGTGTTTGCATTTTTAAATTACCCGGGATTTAATTACTCATCAGGAACACCATCTTTTTAACTTTTATTTAATGAATATAAATTTCCAAAGTACAGTTATAACTTCCCTCCCACCCGCAACCCTCCCCTCTCCTGCAACCTCTCCCATTCCATTCACATCAAGATTCATTTTTAATTATCTTTATATACAGAAGATCAGTTTAGCATATATTAAGTAAAGCCTTCAACAGTTTGCACCCACATAGAAACAAAGTGAAAAATACTGTTTGAGTACTAGTAATAGCATTAAATCACAATGTATAGCACATTAAGGACAAAGATCCTACATGAGGAGTAAGTGCACAGTGACTCCTGTTGTTCATTTAACAACTGATACTCTTGTTTATGGCATCAGTAATCACCCTAGGCTCTTGCCATGAGTTGCCAAGGTTATGGAGGCCTTTTGAGTTCACCTACTCTGATCTTATTTAGACAAGGTCATAGTCAAAGTGGAAGTTCTCTCCTCCCTTCAGAGAAAAGTACCTTCTTCTTTGATGACCTGTTCATTCCACTGGGATCTCACTCACAGAGATCATTCATTTAGGTCATTTTTTTTTTTTGCCAGAATGTCTTGGCTTTCCATGCCTGAAATACTCTCATGGGCTTTTCAGCCGGATCCGCATGCCTTAAGGGCTGATTCTAAGGCCAGAGTGCTGTTTAGGACATCTGCTATTCTATGAGTCTGCTGATATCCCACTTCCAATGTTGGATCGTTCTCTCCCTTTTTTATTCTATCAGTTAGTATTTGCAGACACTAGTCTTGTTTATGTGACTGCTTTGACTCTTAGTCCTATCATTATGATCAGTTGTGAACAGAAATTGATCACTGGGACTAGTGAGATGGCATTGGTACATGCCACCTTGATGGGATTGATTGGAACCCCCTGGCATGTTTCTAACTCTACATTTGGGGTAAGTCTGATTGAGTATGTCCCATACTGTACATCTCTTCCCTCTCTTATTCCCACTCTTATTTAAGAAGGGATCACTTTTCAGTTAAGTTTCAACATATAAGAATAACTGTGTATAAATACAGAGTTCAACCAATAGTATTAAGTAGAATAAAAAAAATACTAAAGGGATTAGCCTATTGAGACGCGGCGCCGGCTTACTGTTTCAATTTCTTTCTCAGTTATGGTTCTATTTAGGTTTTTTGTGTCTTCATTGCTCAATTAGGTAGATTGCATGTGTCCAGGAATCTATCCATTTTTGATAGATTTCCCTGTTTGCTGGCATACAACTCTTTGTACTAATTTGCGATGATTCTTTTTATTTCTTGGTGTCTGTTGTTACATTTCCTTTTCCATCTCTTGATTTATTGATTTGGGTCTTTTCTTTTCTTTTTTATTTAGTTGAGCCAATGGCATTTCAGTTTTTAAAAAACCAGCTCTTGGTTTGGCTGATTTTTTGTAATTTTTTTTTGGATTTAATATTGTTGATTTTTTCTCTGATTTTAATAATTTCTCTTCTCCTACAAGATTTTGGGTCTGTTTTGTTGCAGTTTTTCTAGATCCATGACATGCGTTGAAAGCTCATTTATTTGGTGCCTTTGCAATTTCTTGATGTAGGCACCTATTGCTATAAACTTTCCTCTTAACACTGCTTTTGCCATATCCCATAAGTTTTGATATGTTGTGTTGTTATCCTCATTTACTTCCAGAACGTTTTTGATTTCTCTTTTTATTTCTCTTTTTATTTCTTCTATGACCCAGTGTTCATTCAGGAGCATGATGTCAGTCTCCATGTGTTTGCATACTCTGTAGGGATTCCTGAGTTGCTAATTTCCAGCCTCATTCACCTGTGGTCTGAGAAGCTGCATGGTATGATTCTAATTGTTTCGAATTTGCTGAGACTTGCTTTATGGCCTAGTATGTGGTGATCCTAGAGAAGGTTCCATGCACTGCTGAGAAGAATGTAAATTCTTTAAATGTAGGTTTGAAAGTTCTGTAGATATCTGTTAGATCATTTGGGCAATAGTGTCGATTAATTTACTGTTTCTTCTGTCCTGTTGATCTGTCTATTTCTGAGAGTGGAGTATTGAAGTCCCCCAGTACTATTGTATTGGAATCTAAGTCTCCCTTTAAGTCCTTAACATACCTTTTAAATAAACCAGTACCCTGTAATTAGGTGCATATATATTTATAATAGTTACATCTTCAAATGTTGTAAATGAAGAATGCAGAGTCATTTCCATGGAAAATACGAAGCGAACCAAATATAGCACACAGGAACTTACTTACCTGAGGCAGAGGTTTGGCAGGTTTGCAGTGGAGCCCTCCGATGAAATCAAAGTTTGGTAAAAGTGGCCGAGGAAACTCCAAGTCCCAGTAGCTTCGAATGAGCCACATGTCAGCTTTCCCCATTAGCTCCAAGAACGTAACAGGTCTTCCTGAATGTGAGAAAAAGAAAGAAGAGGGAGAGTAGTGAGGGAAATGTGATGTGAAGTACACTATGTCAAATTCTGAAAGGCGTTGGAATTATGCAGTGAATGATGTGTAAAGTACACAGTGTGAAACCAAATATGTTATATAGGCATCGTATAATTTACATGTAAAATTTATGCATGGTTCACATTATATGGTGTGTGTGTGTGTGTGTGTGTGTGTGTGTGTGACAATACCAAGGAATAATAAACATAGAATCTCACCTCAATAGGCTCATAATCATAAGTAACCATTAAAATAGAGCACTATAGAATCAAACATGGAAAATGTAGAGTAAAATAGGCATAGAAAAGCTTGTTGAAATCCTCCATATTTCTATTTGTGGTTGTATGCCGCCCTGGAACACCCTAACCTAGTGAGAGTCATTGGCTTAAACTGACCCTGTGGTGTAAACACCATTGCATTACATATGTGAGAATAATAGATCTTTTTATATTTTTATTTCATTATTTTACCTATAAAAGACGAATTCCTTTGATTTTGCATTCATACAAGCTCACATTCAAAGTCAAAGTCAGGATCAATTAAACTATGACTTACCCAGTACTTCACTGTAAAATTGATCCCATCGCTTTTCATTAAATTTTGAGAACCAAAGTCAAAGTAAAGCACGCAGAGCAGATTTTGCACCCTCTCCATGAATGTCATTTGACTGCCTAGACCAGACATAATAACAGGAACATAGGAAGGAGGCAGTAAGAGTCCTCCACCATGCTTTTGCAATAAGTAGCCAGGAAAGAAGCGGAGATTGTACACGAGGGGTATTTTAAGTAGCTCAGCCAGCAGCTCACCACCAGGACTAACAGGATCTGCAAGAACAACATCAAATCTTGATTCCTGCAGCTTTGTCATGAGTTTCTTGTTCAAAACGACTTCTTTGCAGATAGCTTCATGAATGTCAGAATATTTTAAAACAACCATTTTCATTACTGAAAAGTGTTCCCAATTACTATCTATTGACATATTATTTATCATTGTAGAGAACCAATGCGTGAAAAAATTCTCGATTTCATCTTTCCTGTAGGATGTATGGAAAGTTTCAAATTTAATTCCCGATTCATTGTTGGAACCAATTACAATAGAAGCTGAAGATCTCAGGACAGTGACTTCATGGCCTCGCTGGACAAGTGCATCCAGGATTGTCTTCATATTCATCCAGTGACTGAATTCCATAGGCCACACCAGCACCTTCCCACAACTCCCAGAGCTGAAGCAGCAGCTCAGCTGTAGCAGCAGCAGCAGAACTGAAATGCATTTCACAGGCATCCTGGTGAAGTGCAGTGCTTCCTCTCCCATTGCTGTTCCTGTTTTAGCTAGTCAAGCTTGAATCCATGAAGAAATTCATCACGTAGTTAAAATATAACCTGAATCAGTGATAGTAAACATATCTCAATCTGATCTCTGCACTGAGATGGCATTTGGAAAAAGTTAAGGTAGATGACCTCTGTGTATATCAGTGTGTTTAGAGTCTCCCCCCATTTTTAAGGACTTACAGAGAGAGGGAAAGATAGAGAAAGACACCTTCCATCCACTAGTTTACTCCTTTAATATTCACAACTGTAGGGACTAAGTCCAAGCTGAAGCCGTGAGACTGTGGCCCTCTTTGGGTTTCCTATTTGAGTGGCAAGGCCCTAAAATACTCATGCAATCTTCCTTTGCCTTCCCAGGGACATTGTTGGTAGTTTGATCAGAAATGGATCAGATGGGATTTGAGCTTCTGTCGCTTGAACTGATGCCAGTGTTGTGGACAGCGCCTTGATCAGCTGTGCTTCATTGGCGGCCCCTGAAGTCTCTTTTATGGTTAAGTGCTGCCACCTCTCTCATATTCTCTGACCTGCTAGTGTGAGGCGGTTAGGTTAGAGCAGTGACCCTAGCAGCAGCAAGTGAGAGGTGACTTGCTTCTGCAATCTCTGTGACACAGAACCAGATAATGTTTCTTAGCCTGGTTCAGGGCATTTTTTGGGTAGAATCTCTGATAATACACATGCATCCATTTCGCTAAAGAATGTGTATAATTCTGTGTTTCATGGTATTCTCATAAAAATGTGTAACCACAATCACTAATCAATTTTTGGGCTTTTCATAACTCCTAAAGAGAAACCCAATACCCTTTATCCTTTGTGCTTCCCCTTCCAATGTCTGATTCCTACAGTCGTAGCAAGTACTCATCTACTTTCTGTTTCTAGAGATTTGCTGTTTCTGGAATTTCATGTTAGTGAAATACTACAGCATTTGAGGTGGAAACATTGAAGCACGTCTCTGTCAGTTACCTCCCTGCCTGATGAGTAAGTCTGCAACCTCTATTCTTTTTTTTTTATTTAAAGATTTTTGTTTATTTATTTGAGAGCTAGAGTTACAGACAGTGAAAGGGAGAGACAGAGAGGTCTTCCTTCCATTGGTTCACTCCCCAAAGGGCCGCAATGGCCAGAACTGAGCAGATCTGAAGCCAGGGGCCAAGTGTTTCTCCCAGTCTCCCATGAGGTGCAGGGGCCTGAGCCCTTGGGTCTTCCTCTTCTACTGCTTTCCCAGACCACAGCAGAGAGGTGGATTGGAAGAGGAGCAGCTGGGACTAGAACCAGCACCCATATGGGATGCTGGCACTGCAGGCGGATTAGCTTACTGTGCCACGGCATGGGCCCCCCTGAAACCTCTTTTCTTAGGTTGCTTCTCTTATCATAGAAGCTCCAATGTTTGAGTGAGCTGTACAACGATTATTTGGGAGTTGGATTCTCAGAATGCAGTGCTTGAATAGAACATCTATGTTAACAGTACAACTTGTCAAAGATATCAGTTTCAGTACATAACTGATCATACTTATAGGATTAAGAGTCAAAGGGATCTCATAAACAAGAGTAGTGCGTGCTAATACTGACTGATAGAATTAAAAAGGAGAGAACAATCCAACATGGGTAGCAGATACACAGCAGACTCATAGAATGGCAGATGTCCTAATAGCACTCTGGCCTCAGAATCAGCCCTTAAGGCATTCGGATCTGGCTAAAAAGCCCATGAGAGTATTTCAGGCATGGAAAGCCAAGACATTCTGGCAAAAAAAAAAAAAAATGACCTATATGAAAGATCTCTGCGAGTGAGATCCCAGTGGAAAGAACAGGTCATCAAAGAAGGAGGTACCTTTCTCTGAAGGGAGGAGAGAACTTCCACTTTGACTACGACCTTGTCTAAATAAGATCAGAGTCGGCAAACTCAAAAGGCCTCCATAGCCTTGGATACTCATGATAAGACCTTAGGGTGATTACTGACGCCATAAACAAGTGTGTCAATTTGTTAAGTCAACAACAGGAGTCACTGTGCACTTACTCCTCATGTAAGATCTCTATCCTTAATATGTTGCACAATGAGAATTAATGCTATCACTGTTACTCAAACAGTACTTTACACTTTGTGTTTCTATGTAGGTGCAAACTATTGATATCTTTACTTAGTATATACTAAATTGATCTTCTGTATATAAAGATATTGAAAAGGAAAGAAATAAAGAATACAACTAGAGACCCTTCTTAGTTACTGGAATTAACCCTGACACATAGGAGACTTGTGTTTATAAGAAACCACAAGTACTGTTGTCCTCAATCTGGCTAATGGGAAGTACAACTTATGTCTTAATTATAAACTGAAAGCTGTTGAGCAGAGGACACTGGTGATCCAGTCAGCATCTACCTGCAGTGAGATTACTGTACACTTGGCTGGAAAGTGGGGAGAAGGGACAGGTCAAGGGTTAAAAGCCACAGGCTCTCACTGTTTTTACCAAGTCTTTGATTCTCTCTCTCTCTGTCTCTCTCTCTCTCTCTCTCTCTCTCTCTCTCAATGTTATATGCTCTATGTCCAAATTTGAGAGCTATTAGTTGATTGTGCTATTAAATACTTTTCCCTAGTTATTCCTGCCTCCCCTGAAAGCTCATCTATGGAGATTTTCACACTGCTATATGATATTTTCTTTTTCTTCTTACTCTTTGTGAATTCTTTACATAGTGGGGAGTTAAGCTTTGATTATAAATATTAAAAAGCATTTCGGGGCTGGCTCTGTGGTGTAGTGAGTTAAGCTGCCACCTGCATTGCTGGCACTCCAAATGGGTGCCAGTTAAATACCCGGCTGCTCCATTTCTGATCCAGCTCTGCTATGGCCTTGGAATTCTGTACAAGATGGCCCAAGTGCTTGGGCCCCTGCACCGGTGTGGGAGACCAGGAAGAAGCTCCTGGATCCTGGCTTCAGATCAGTGTAGCTCTGGTCATTACAGCCAACTGCGTAGTGAACCAGTGAATGGAAGACCTCTCTCCGTCTCTCTCTGCCTCTCATTCTCACTCTGTGTAACTCTGACTTTCAAACAAAATAAATAGATTTTTTGACAGGCAGAGTTACACACACAGAGAGAGAGAGAGAGAGAGAGAGAGAGACAGAATGTAAGGTCTTCCTTCCATTGGTTCACCCCCCAAATTGCTGCTATGTCCGGCGCGCTGCGTCCATCTGACGCCAGGAGCCAGGTGCTTCCTCGTGGTCTCCCATGCGGGTGTAGGGCCCAAGGACTTGGGCCATCCTCCACTGCTTTCCCAGGCCACAGCAGAGAGCTGGACTGGAAGAGGAGCAACCAGGACAGAATCCGGTGCCCCAACTGGGACTGGAACGCGGGGGTGCCGGCACCGCAGGCAGAGGATTAGTCTAGTGATCTGTGGCACCAGCCAAAATAAATAATTTTTTTTTAAAAATTAAAAGCATGTCATTATAAAAATTAAAAGAAAGAAAGGAAGATGGAATGTGGGAGGGTGGATGTGAATGTGGGAAATATCACTATGCTTTTTAAATCTGTATATATGAAATACATCAAATTTTTTCACTTATATAAGTAAAATTGTTTAAAACATGGCTATTTCAAAGTTTTCTTGCCAACTTTTTGTGTTTATAAACTTTGCATGTATTTAGGTTTTTACAAGTATTGGAATCTTTAATGCTTTTTGAAATAAGTTAATTCACAGATATGTAAGAAATTATATAGATTGTTTAAAAATGGGTACCAAGTGGATCTATGTTGGATTCCTGATCAGTTGAGGCATTCTGAAGGATATTCAATGATTAAGAGTATAATATAGTATCTTAACCCTGCTATGTTAGATTTGTATGGCTATTTAACTAATTGTTATTCTGAGTTACTAAATAGAGTTTTAAATTATCCTCATTGATTAATTTTATACATTATAGGATACTGTTTTTACCAAGTGGTGAATAATATTCTCTGTCTCTCTCTTTTCTCTTTCTCAGCTATATGCAGAAAAAGAAGAAAGGTAAACATATTTTATCTATTTCTTTGAGTGGTAGAGTTACAGAGACAGGCAGTGACAGAGAGAGGTCTTCCGTCCATTGGTTCACTCCCCAGATGGCTGGCTGGAGCTGAGTTCATTAGAAGCCAGGAGCCTTGAGCTTCTTCTGGGTCTCCCATGTGGGGGTAGGGCCCAAGCAGTTGGACCACCCACTGCTGCTTTTACAGGCCATAGCAGAGAGTTGGATCAGAGGAGGAGCAGCTGGAGCCCATTTGGGATTCCTGTGTTCCAGGCAGAGTAAAATTTTAGCCCACTATGCTGCAGTGCCGGTCCTACCTTTTGATTCTTTTCTCCATGAAATACTGCCATCAGTGAATCATTCAACATCTAGATTTTCCAGAGGTTCATCTTGTAGATCAGCCTTGCTAGAATAGACCTTCTATGTGTTCTCTGCATTAGAATGAGCTTTGTTTTCATTACCTTCAGATGGCAGAAGAGCAGCTGGATTGAGGACATCGTGTACTTTGAGAGTTATTCCAGATGATTTTATTATGACATCCTCCCGTTAATCACTAATGTCATTCAGTCTCGAACTCCTTGTATCTGGTGTTGAGTTTAAACTTTAAGTGACTGGCTTAATATCAGCTGGTGGTTTGTTTCCTGAAATATGCTGTAGCAGTTCCTGCTCTTATGCATGCAGGCCATCCTGTGATCCTTGAAACTAGTTTCTTAGAACAGCAGGCAACTGGTCATGAAAGTGGATGCAATTTCTGAGTGACCACACCCAGAGCCCTTCTCTGCTATAAACAGAGTGAAAACAAATTTCACCAACTCCCATAATAATAAAACTCTGAAAATTGGAGTCCAATGGGGAAACTTATTACATAAACGTGGCTCCTATATCTATTAGTAAATCAACACTCTTACCCTTGACATCAGCAATCACCAAGGGCTCTTGGCCAAGGTGTTTTTTTTTTCTTTGTTTCCTTTTTTTTAATTTTTTTATTTGGCAGCTTCCTTAGTCCTCAGGCCCCATCAGTCTTCAGACAAGGACAAGAGGGA